ATCATCATCATCATCATCATCAGCAGCAGCAGCAGCAGCAGCAAGCGTTGGTGGAGGATGCGCGAGTGAAATTAGCAAAACTGGCGAATTCCATTGCTATCTCATCGGGAGCAATGCACACCACTCCGCATGGGAAGCTCGGACTCAGAAAGGTTTGCGCTCTCTGGTCACCCCATCAGCTCAGTGAGGAATAGAAAGCAGTACGGATGAATCGGTGCAGCACCATGCTTGACAGGTTTATTGGTGAATGTTCCAATGTAGTTTGTGATATCATCAGTGGGGATGAGAGTCGAATTTACAGTTTCGACCCAGGGGCCAGGCAACAATCGGTTCAGTGGACGTCGGTTGATGGGGCGTTGCCTCAAAAGTTCCGAAGAGAGCACAGGGTGGCAAAGCAGATGATGGCTGTTTTCATGTTCAAAAGCGGTCATGTGGCTACTGCACCGCGCGTACAGCAAAGCACAGTCACCGGAGACTGGTAAACCACCCACTTCCCGGCTGGAATTGCTGAAGGCTGTTAGCAGGACTGGAGCACAACGGCCCTTGATGCACCATGACAACACAACAGCAAACAAATCCCATGCGTCGGCTATTTTCTGGCTAGAGAACGAATCCAGGATATTGGTCACCTATCTACAGCCAAGACCTGGCTCCACGTGACTTTATTGTGTACCCAAATGTCAAACGCATGATGCGTGGAATTCGATACGAAGAATCATCAACAGCTGCACTGGAGGTCTTCATTGGTGGTGTTTTACTCTACATGCATGCGTGTTGACGCACTGCTTGCTCACCGTTCTACGGACCGGCTACGTTTAAATTTGCACATTGGAAATAAAATAACCACTTAGTTCACCGCTGGCGTATTGATTTGCTTCTTCGAGAAACAACACTTAGCGTCGTGGGCAGGTAGTTATCCCAGTAGGCCTTAGAGATTACATTGGCAAGACAGACAAAATTAGTCGCCTTGGTAATTCACCCCGTACTGCTCAGTTTGTCAGTCACGAAATTCTAAGATCTCTGGTGACGATAGCAACTAGGAAGATGAGGGAGAGATTTGAAATTAGGAAAAAGCGAAGCAGGTGTTACCATCACCAATATCCTGAAGTCAAATACGTTGACAGCTATCAAGCTCACGATACGTATAGCAACGGTTTGGTAGAGCTTACTTATACCCTGAGAGTGGGGAACAGAAAGCAACGGGCTGCTTACATAGATATCATAGTCTAATTGTGTATACACACGCTTTTGAACAGTCTGATAACTAGAAATACCAGTGAGGAGATCATGTTTATCATGCGGCTTCCGTGTCGTTTGATGTCTGCAACCATCACGTTTTTGTCTCTTCTGGACCTCAGTACAAAAGACAATCGAAGTTAAGACTGATTAACCTCCTCATGGAGTTATTTATTCCTCGACTCCACATTTTCTTTTATTCTTCTCATAGTTATACAATCCCTGGAACGGCCACGGTAAACAGAAAGTGCTGGCTCATTCCAGCGCATTCTAACAAGGAATTTTCTATGACAACTCGAAGAAACCACGAACAAATTATGCAGATCTTGACTGTCAAAAACCCCCAGTCGATGAATTGCCTCGTTACAGAATATTAAGTGATCACTGCCGTACGGTAGAACTGGAATCGTAGATGCAATCTTCAAATTTCGAGGAAACCTCACGTGGATGATGAGGTGTCCCATTTCAGCGTTCTACAGTTCGGTTCATCTTCATCTTATACAAATGCCTGGGAATGCACAAGAATCAGGTGAATTCATCCATAATCATCTACATATTCATCTTTATAATCACCTATAGATTCAAAGCACCATTGGTCGACACACTCACACTCGACGATGGTGACAACGTACCAAAACTCATGCATCTTCCATCTAGCTCCCGCATACAACTACATTTAAAGACTAATCAGTGCACTCTAGGCTGTTTTTCGTTAATGATGGAACTGAATTGAAATTGTGAAGTAGAGTACTTTTGATGAACTCCGTGACTAGGAATCAACAACGAGTCCTGCAACTCATCGTAGACCGGAACTCAACTAGGAGTGAGATAACAGGCACTGGGAAATGTCTTTGCGAGAAGTTCAACCGAATAGACAGCCTCACAATCATGAGAATTAAGTGCTCCTTGCAGGTCAAACAAGACTGCTCACATTGTTCACTGGTGAGCAATTTTACTCGGGCCTCTGAAACCTAGTGTAAATGGATCCTCAAGACAGGAACTTGATGATAATCGGATCTACAATTTACCTTCCTCATAGAATTCAACCAGCGGACTGATGAAAACTGGAATCTCGCTCATCCCCCAATTGTTTCAAAGTGATGATGTGTGCTCTCTTTTGTGAAACAGGCCGGAATTTATGTACGTTAGTCAGATGAAATGTTGCACACTAACAGCATCTACAGTTTCCTTTTTTCTACACCCAAACCGCGTGGGATTTGAGATTGGAAGCGTTGAGGGGTTGGAGCGTTTTTAACATTGTTTCACCGTCCGTCTGCTGAAAATCATAGAAGCAGAACTTAAAACGTAAGCCTGAGCATCGATCAATACTGTCCAGCCGTTCCAAATGGTCATATCGGCAAAGCTTTGATCCCTCATGGGTAGAACAGTCAAAAACAAGAGTAAATAACAGGGTTTTTTTTGGCCCAATCTAAATCAAACTCGTTTGGGGTGTCAGTGTCGCTTGATGCCCATAATCGGTGTACTAAGAGCAAAAAATGTCTGATGAACCGGTTTTGACCGTCGAACCGAGCTAAATCATCCGCATCAAAGAGTGCGCATACTTTTGACCGCTATGCGCTTTCATCAGTTCATTTCTCCGAGTATTTATTTCTTTGGCCATTCTAAGCATGTCGGACGATGATGACAGATTCCATGTGAGTGCGTGTAGAATTCAATCAATTGATGCACGTGCGTGTGTTCGTATTGGCACGTGAGAGACGTGATTGTTTGATGCGCAAGCAGTAGTGCTCTTATTGGTTGGAACAATGCTGTATTAGGAACGATACCACACGAGGAAGGGATGAATTGGGTGATGGTTTGTGTGTGTGTGTGTGTGTGTGTGTGAGTGCAAGCTCGTTGAGTTACCGGTGAAATGCTTTTATTGCATTCTTTCGAAAAGGTAAAGCCATGTGGTGATGATGGCCAAGCGTCTAAATCAGTGCTCTCAATACGGATTAAATTCAATATGTAAGGGGAGGCGTCCTCGTTTACAAACGGAGGAACTCAGTTAACCGATCCATATTAACCTATCTACACCACTAACAGATTGTGAGTAAAGAACGTCTGAGGTCGTTTACTATACATTGCAGCGACGATGGCGATAAATTAACTAAACAATCCCCTTTGAGATACTAGAAAATACCCCCCTCTCATTATTTGTTCTGCATTCCTTCACCCATTTTCCCTGACTAACCAAATCGTGCTATATTCGTGTGCAACACCGAAAAGGAGCTTATATACTGCTGGTAAGATCGAAATAATTTTTTAATGCTTCGTCCCTCCCCCTCTGTCCCTCTCTCTCTCATACACACACACACACACACTGTTCATGTGGTCTATACAAGACGAAACAGAGAATATAACCGATTTAAATGCTCCATTACTGTGCAGTAACAAGTAGTCTGATTCCGAATATTTCAAAGCAAGTCATAAGCTAGTGTTGAACTGAGTGACGTAAAGGTGGATTTTGCCATATCATGTAAAAGCAAAATGGAAAGAGTCTAATCAACTTCTCGGAAGTCAAGTGGATAGTAGTCTTGCGTTGTATCTGGGAGGCCACGGGTTCGACCCCCCNCCCCCCCCCCCCAGTTCGGTTGATGGATTCGCAATGCTGACGAGACCCAACCAGGTCATTTCATGCCTCATTTGCACTGTACATGACGAAATTCACCGTAGAAATTTTACCTCTCGAGCTACTCTGATTTGATAGCTAAAATACCAAAAATGAAAAATGAAAAAGATTTGGACATAAATTGTTTGATTGAGATTTACTAGTATGAACTCCAAATTCAATCCTTCTCACTGTCTCATGATTAGTTCCCCATTCTATTGTCTATTTTCACCTTGACCCATATTATTGCGTTGCATCTGGCTAGTTAATAAAACATCAAATCTGAACTTGGTTGTCACTTTACTTTCTAAAATCACCACTCAGTAAAAATGCATTATTATTTAAGGGACTGAGATTTCCAATCTAGTGGATACAATTGAACACAAATCTCTCCTGCTGGCAAGGATCACACTTTCAAGTACAACAAATAAATTGAACGCTTTTAGACGTCCTATTAATACCAGCATCCGCTGGGAAGTGTACTATTGATCTTGCAACCACACGATCGCCTGGCTTGTGCAATGAAATTCACAATATGTACGCAACCCTTGAAATCTTTGCAGCTGTATTACAATGCAGACATATGCATGTCTGAAAAGTGCATTCCGACCTCGTCACCCCACAGAAATGTCTGTAAAAGTTAACCATAAATGCTCATAATTTGTGCTTGCTTTTATTTATGCGAAGTTTAAATCGGTACAAGATACATTTCATTTACGGTCTTCGATTTGCACGGGGATGTTTGCACAAATGATATCCTTCTTGCTCGCGTCTTGCAATTCCCATTTGACAGTGACTCGCATCTGGAGATGAGCGATGGAAAGAGAATGAGAACCGAATAAATAGTCAATCAAAGCAGTGATCACATGAATCAAGTAGTAGTGTAATACGCGGGTTAATAAAAGGAAGTAAGATAGATAGTGATGTAACATTGTATTCCGGGGACAGAACTGTGCCGTGAAAATATGAACAGATGTATTGAAAGGAAGCTGTTACTCCAACGAGCAGTAGCTCATTCAGTACTGAGTTCCATGTTCCAGCTGTTTCAGATAATGTGCCTCAGATGATGCTGAATCACCAGGCGCAGTCTAAATTCTAAATTCAAATTTTTATTATGGGTACATTACAAAGTTGATGCTTATTTAATTCCATAAGGTCTGTACATACTGGGTTCGGTTCGTAGTACAAATGAATAGCAAATTCTGATGTTCACTCACCTGTTCAATCACAATACACTTATTCATTTGTTATAATATAAGTAGTTATTATGATTTTATTTATAGGAAGGGGTGTATTTTTGTTATTGTTATTTACTGAGACCGGTGGATTGAAATAAAATTTTCAGGTGAGCTTTTAAGAGTATTCAAAAATGCTGCTGGTGAAGACTATCAAGGTAACCGTGAAAATACGTCATGTGTATATAAAAGATTTAAAATACCTCTATTTAAGTGTTTGTATGACTTACTTTCGGATAGGCCTGTAACACGGGCAATTGATAAGTGTATGTGGCCAAGTTGTTTGCGGCCAGTGGACAACTGGGCTGAGTGAATGAACACATATCATCTTTCTCGATGGGGAATGGGACTGGAATACCGGCCACTAAACCATGTACGACCGCTTTTCCGGTGTCGATCCGTTGATCTGGGATAACCAAATTGGGGTGTATTGATGGCTTAGCACATTTAAAGCACGTGTATCAAACGATTCTGTGACAATATTCTATTATCACCTTCGGTATGGAAGTTTTTTGTGACTCAAAATACATTGTGTGCTCTTTGACCAGGTGCATATCGCCTGTTTAGGCCCAACCGCAAAACTACCGCTTATCCTGGTGACTCCTTTTAAATCTCCCGTTTTGGGTTGCACCTCTCGGTGCTGTCACTCAGCCTTGATTAGGAAACTTGGACATCCGTGTTGCTTTGGGGTCCTCGGTTTAGGGTCTCCAAATCAGCGTAATCGATAGTTGAATATGGATGAGTGTAGTAAAACAGCTAGACTCATGTATCTTCTAAGCCTCTTTGAAACCTTCGTTTACATGGATTTTCTGTTTTCACGTTTGGATTATTTTCAATATCCCAATAGTCCGGTTGCTGTTCCTTCGAAATGGATATCCAAAGACACTGGTCAACCGGTTTTATAAAATGACACTGAAATTGAAACTCAGCCCGAATAACAATCGTATGACTTTATATCGGTGATACCAAAACTTTGGCGTAAAATGTGTTTTCATAGATAGTTCATACCACCTAAAGCTCCATGACAAATATTACTGAAGCCGGTTAGGTCAACTGTTTTATGAAGTTGCCCACTAAATTAGGACTTTTGTCTAAACGATGACTCTTCTACCGAAGGAGTTTCATTTTTCTATCACACTGTTGTGAATATATTTGACTAACATAGTATATTTTTGCACTACACTAAAATATTTGGATCATAAAAGTAAAACATCAACATACCATGGTGACCAGAATGACATGCAAACTCACGTGGTTTGAACTGTACAGTGATTGTGGCGTTTTCTCCGCGATACAAAGGACATGGCAGAGTATCACAGGGTGTCACAGTCACGTCGACGATTTCGGCCAATTTCGAACCTGGAAGAGAATGGAAGAAAGGATTTCCAATGCTAACTGAACGGACGGTGTTGAGACAGTTGCATTAACCACAAACAACGATTTGGTACAAGCACAAACACGCTCTATGCGGACAAGTGCATGTAGCTGACCTTACGCATGAACTAGATTAGATCTGCCACATTACTGAGCACTCACCACAATCTATATACCGATTGCCACGCAGTCGAAAACCAGAAGTGATGCAGGCGAGGCAGGCGAGTGCGACAACCAGGCTGGCTTGCATGATGTTTGAGCAGACTAATGCTTTCGACCGGAGGCTACTCGTGCTCAGCAACGGTACCGACGTTGAATATATACTCCCGAGTGAGATCGGTTGCATGGATCACGCTATCTGATATGGTCCGATCATCGCCTGTTCCGCAGGCTCGAAGGTCAGAAAATTTGTCACTGTCTGGAGGTTTTTTTCGTCCAGAATCCCGTCACCGAGTGAGCTATTTTCGGAGATCACAAAGCTTTTCAGCCCGTCTGAGTGAGCTTCAAAGTCCACACGGCACGGCACAGTGAACCTTGAACCTGACGCATAACTGTGTCCAATTAAAAAATGATGACGTTCGTTGTTCAGATATCTACATGGTTCTCGAGGTCTCATGATGAATTTGATAACCACAAGTTTCGGCGCGCTTCGAATGTGTTTGCTCTGCCTTTGAAGTGTTTCATGGACAAATGTGAAAAAGGACATACTTGTAAAACTAGGCTAATTAATTTTTTTTTCTAAGGCTTTGCAAACTGCGCTGATCACAGCTTCGTAAGGCACTACCACAAATGTAGCCATCTTGTCTCACGTTTTGATTTCATAAGCTACAGAAAACTCATTTCTTGAAGTGATTTATCTATCTGCTACAAATTCAAAATGTTTTAGCCGAGAGGCATGTCAACAAGTCTCGAACAGGCCACTAGGNTGATGGCGGATAAGAGCGGGTCAAGGCTCACGGAAGCTGTGATCCTTGAGGATGTGTCGGGTTTGGTATTCCAACTTTTATCTCGATAAGACAGTACTTAACCCTGAAGAGGACACTGCAGTGGGCTAAATGCGACTAGTCACTGATAAGGTGATTCCCATAACACTGCATACATCAGAAAAGACTTTTTCAGGGCTTATTCAGAACAAACCTACTGTCCGACAGGTTGCACTTGGCGAAGCTGAGGTTAAAAGAGCAATCGTGAACGGAAAACGCCGAGCGGTCCTGGGGGAATGCACTTGTGGTCTTACATCCAGGAAACTCCAAGCATCCTCGTCGTGCATTGGACGGATTTATTCCGAAAGGCCATACAATTTTATCAACGTAAAAGTAACTTAGACAATATGGAAAGTACATGTTGCTAATCACAGCAGAATGTTCGAGGTATATGTTGATGCTCTGCCTAACTCACAAAGCCGCCAGATCGCTTTTATGTAGTTACGACTTCGGTGGATATTTCATATCAATGTTAACTAAAAGCTGACAGAAACAGCTTTGTGTTAACACACACTGTGTCGCGGATAAACTTCCCATTACGCCAACAACTTCATCAAAATTTAGATGAACATGTTCAAGGACCGCTACATTTGTCATCCTGCAAAATACGACGGTCTCAATTGTAAAAACTGCAAAATATCCGACAGATGATCAGGTTGCAGATCGAAACGGAGAATGTTACAAAATCTGTTATTTGATGATATCAGACAGATTGTCATTTTATGTCAATCGCAATCATCTTTCTGCGTAGAAACATGTTAAATTCTATCAGGGATATGTTGATCCTGCTTTACACCTTTTATGGATTCTAGAATAAGAAGTATGCATGAGTATATCGATTTTTTTCTCACGTTGCCCGGAAAGCACTGTTCGACAGGATGCCTTTTCGCGTGTCCATCACGTGATCTTATCACCCGCACACACATATACACACACACAGGTCGTTCCTTCTAGTCGGGACGGTTTTTCGCAAATGAGTTAAATGTTTTAAATCGTTCCGGACAAATAGTTATAATCAGTGATAAACTCTTCCCAAGTTCAAACTAAAAACTGTTAATTACACATTAATTAAGGTCTTAAATCGGCCATTGTTGCAACGGTTTTTAGCATACAGAGTCAATTTGACGAACAGGGAACATGAGTGCGATCAGTCCAAGCTAGCTTCAAAAACGTTTTGCATCATTATATGCATGTCAACTTCACCATATCACAAGGTGGCTCGATGGTTGATCGATATATTGGATCCCATTTGTCAAGTTCTGACACCTCATGGTGTTAAAACCTCTTTGAGACTTGCACATTTATTAGTTAATTTTAATTGATCCTCTCGCAAAATCTTTTCTACTGGTATTGGTTTCTTTTTTTGAAACAGTAGGAGTTCTATTTGATTACACCTCTTCAATGAATATTCACCTTCCTATACCTATTGGTTATGTAATAAAACTTATCTTTGTTTGCACTGAAAGCATACTTCTTGATTTTGAACGAACGGCTCACCGGCAAATTGTTGGAGTAGCCATAAGCAGTGCTCTGGGCCCAACGTTAGCGGGCGTGTTCCCAGGACTGGTCAGAAGACGATTACAGAATAATATTGTATTTACACTAATAAATATTTGTGACAGATCTCGTTATTGACTAAACTACTCAAGAAATTTCTCGAATAGACCGTTGATGTTGACGTCATTTTTGTGCGTTAACATTTCTATAACAAATAGTCAAGTACGGTAGAAGAGAGAACAGCTATTCCTCAATTGTGGAAAGCTATGACCCGACTATATATTTGCGCAAACTCGTATACCCTAAATTAATTCTCTGTTTTTCGACTGCCAATCGTGAATTTATAGGTTTATTGGTGCATCCAAAAAGTAGCTAGGGTTCAGATGAACACTTCTCGATAATTAGGCTAATCGACATATGTTTGAATGATGGGTTTTACCAGTCACCCAGGATCCCATTTGGATTCTGTCACGTGGGTATTCTTCGCTTTTCACCAGTTCGGTGAAGCCGGGAGAGAGCGCGGAAGATTTCACTATCGATTATCCGTTCTGTTACACCGGTATTTGTTTTGGATATGCGACAAAACGTTGCTCTCCTTCTGGTTACTCTCTCTCTATCTCCGATTTCACGTCTCACTACGTGACTTAATCATCATCGGGATTTGCATGCACCTGGCGTGTGCAAGTGACTTGGATCTATACGGAACACTGCCGAAGCGTTCATGCCTTATCACAGGATTTGATAAGCGAGGACGCTATCAACAGAATACAAACCAGAAACCACTACCGGAATATAAAATCCAAATACGACTTTTCTTCGCATAAACTGACATTTGTGTTAGGTTCGAATTATATTCGACGGTCGTTTTATCAATTTATTTTCCATTGTTTATATCCCGTGGTTCCAGGTTTAACCGCCCCTCTACAAACCCCCTACCTCCCGCGACAGGTTGAGTAAATGTGAGGTTAGTAAAATTTAAATAGGACAAACACACCTGTCCAGTGCTCTTTGTGTCAGTCATCAAGAACATTTCCATTGCAGTTAAATGCATTCAACTAGTGGGAAATTAACGATCTCTCCAGGAGTGAAACCCACACCCAAGATCATGAACAGTGCTTGGTACCCGTGTCAAGAAAGTGAATGGGTTGATTCAAACATTCGTCATCTCTCAAATATATCTTAAAATCATAGGTTTAAAACTGTAAAAGCTACACGAATATTTAGAGATGAGAGGCTAGTTGCTAAACGATTCTCGGTCCACGAGTCATCTGTCTGAACAATGAGACTGCACTTATTTCATTGTAAGTACTGAAGGTTAAATTTCAGTAAAATATCTATCCCCATCAGAGAACCTATTCAAAGGAAAAAAATATTTACAAATATAGGGGCAGTGCCAAATATTTACGAGGGTAATTCACCAAAAGAATACAAAATCAGTTTCACTGTATTTGTTTAATCCGGTCTCAACAAGTTCCTTTGTGAGGATGAGCAGCCAATCAATGGCATTGATCGGTCCAACCAAGAGCTTGTATACCTTGATTGCGACTGTATTTTACAATGGGTCTATACTCCCCTAAATAATACCTTAGGTAATGAGTGATCTATACCTTTTCAACTTCAAGTGAATCCAACCAATCGCACTCCACTGGAAATCCCACAAGATTATTGGTGTTTCGGCAGTCAAATGTCACCCGTGGGATCGGGGCCATCGAAACCCCGTCCCGTCCGAATGAACTCAATTCCCCGTAAACAAACAAAAGTACATTTTTAGTGAGTTCCCGAGCAAGGTTGAATGTTTCGGGAGGAGGGTGGGTTGAGTTGGGCCGTTCTCCGCCCGCACCCCAAACACACCCCCGTTCCACTCGGGAACGTTATGTTCGTGATCGTTGATCGAGTGTGCGTCATAGATACGAATGAACGAACTCGGAGTTAATTGACCTCTGTCGATCCGGTAAGGAAGCGAATCACACCAAGATGGATCGATAAGTCAGTGACCATGCCCAGATGTGAATGTGAGCATGATTCATTGCATGAGTGAAGTTAGTCTAAACCCACAATAACCCAATGAGTGAATTCTACTGAGGCCGAGATTCTCTCGAATAAAACCGATTCCTTTGAATCGAATGCGATTGCTTACGTATTTCTGACATTTAAATGCACACTTCACAAGATACTTAGCATACATAAGATGATCCATTATTGCAAGAAGAGCACACATCATATATGATTGTGTGTGACAACTCACCCTGCCATTCTAAACTGGAAAATGGAATGTTTGGAAAGCATTGCTAGTGATGCCAAGTCTCATATCACGAAGAGTCATTGTCAGCATGCAACTAACCATGTTCGTGTACATTATCCGACAGCTATCAAAATGCATGATTTTTAATACACCTGATCTTTTTCTAATCACTGAACGTTTTTGTGAATGGGAGATATAAGTCGGAAAGTTCTATCATTATTAGAGTCCATAGGCCGGGTATATCAGGTAGTTCATAGATTTTAGGGTACAATTACGATTACAGTGAGAGTTTGTTATTAATTTATTACAGAATCAGTCTC